GTGTGAGGGTGCTTCCAGCTCTGACTCACAGCTGCTTCCTTACCCGGGTCACTGCTTGGGCCCCCGCTCCCTGAGCAGGCAGCCAGCAGCCCCCAGAGTGGATGACGTGAATGTAGTCAGGCCCCAAAGGAGCTGCCTGTGTCAGCTCTCACACAAAGGAAAAATAAACACAAGGCTGGGAGGCGTGGGGGCCTCGTGCACTCGCCTGCTGACGAGGGTGGTCCTGCACGGGGACACTGTGGGCGCCTGCTCTCCGTGAGCCTGGCCCTCATGGACCCTTGCACCCCCAGGTCAGTGCTGCAAAATCCCTGGTGCTGTCCCCCTCGATTTGCCTGTTTTTTAAAGTCGTGCAGAGTTTTATGATGGAGCCAGCCGTCACTTGTCGAACAGCACCTGAATGGGGGAGTGAGGATGAAGAAAAAGAAAGACGCAGAGATAGCGTCGGGAGCCTCTCAGAGAGACTGCCATCGTGCTTTTTTATTCTCCTCCCCCTTTTTTTCACAGGTGAGTTTGGTTGTTAATCATGATCCTCATCAAAGACACCTGCTTCCTTGTTCTCTAGTTCTTTGGAAACTCCCCACCCTCATGGGCTTTCTTGTTTCTCGGATGCAGTTCCTCGTAACAGTCTCCTTGCTCTATACAATGGAGGGTAAGATTTAACATGGAGCCTCTATGGCTAACACCGCTCTCCACAGTTTTATTTCACAGTATGGCACTGGGGGAAGAGAGTTCAGTGCAGAACCAAGCTCAGCTCCAAATATAGTCCCCCACCTTCTCACAGTTTTCCTTGCCACGGTTTCTGTTACTCATGGCTGACTGTGCTCTGAATGTGTTATTAGAAATGCCAGAAGTAAACAGTTCATAAGTGGTGGTGTTTTGTTTTGTGAGGCTGGAGATCAAACCCAGGGCCTTGAATAGCTAAGCTAGGGTCCTACCCCAGGGTGACACCCAGAGGTGGGATTATTCTTCTTTTTTGAGGTAGTGGGGATTGAACCCAGAGCCTTGAAACTGAGCTACATCACCTGCTCTTATTTATGTGTTGGCAGTGCTGGGATTTTTTAAACATTGAAACATTTTTAAATTTTTACTAGTAATGAGGGGAGCTGGTTACAGGTACACGACACACCTTAGTTTTGCTCATCCTTTCCTGGCTCGGCCTCGACTGGGCCCACAGTTTACCTCAGTGTGCATGTCCCTGTGTAACGCTCTGCCTGCGTGCACCCCTGGTAGTCCTCGCACTGTCTGAGGGCTACTTTGCCCAGAGGCTGGGAGCAGGGTCTGCAGCCTGTGAGGACTGCCAGGACGATCTTCTCCTTGGCCCCTGCTGGCTGTCCTGGATGCGTCGCCACACCAGAGGTTGCTGCGCCCCACACAGCCCGCCTCAAAACATCTCTGTGCACAGCCAGGGACAGGAGTGAGCGGGCTGCCCGCTGTCCTCAGGGAGCCTAGAGGCGCAGGACTGTTCTAGCAGCATCCCTGACATGGTCACCCTGGTGGGAAGAGCCGCTTTCCCACCTTGCCGGGCAGCAGGACAGCCGAGTGACGTCAGCTGCCGCCTATGGGCCTGCTTCTCCACACAGCAATGTGTGTGGTCCTAATCTTGGTGCTTCCAGGGAGAGCCAGCAGCTGCTGGGGTGGGCATGGCCCTGGTTCCACGGGGACTTCCTGGCCCAGTGGCTCTAATTTTAAATTATGACCGAAAGGGGCTGGAAGAGTGAGCTGGTGCTAGGATGAGCCTCCCACACATGCTGCTCCTGGCCACGTCTGGTCTGAAAGGTCTCCATAGACCTCCTCAGAGCTCGGCAAAGACTTGCTCCTGCCATGTATTTAGTAGACACAGGATGAGTGGTTAAAACCCTTGCATTTGCCTTAAGCTGTTTAAATTCTGGTATAAGCCTTGCCTCAGGAAGCCCTTTGGTCATCTTGGTGTTCTCCTGGGTCAGCGGTCACAACTGGATTCTTCATGAGCATCTGATGAGACAACAACAAAGACCCACAAGAGAATTCCTAGAATTCAATCAAGAAGGCCAGAACTGTGAGGTGCGGGGGCCACACCTATAATCCCAGCAGCCAGGAAGCTGAGGCAGGAGGGGCATGAGTTCAAGGCCAGCCTGGACCAGAGTGAGTCTTTGTCTCAAAAAGCAAAAACAAAGCAAAACGAAAAACAAAAGCAAAACAGGAACATCAGAATCCCACCAGCCTTCTGTTTAAAGCCTCCCTCAGGATTTGAGATCAATTTTGGTGCTGGGGATCAAATTCAGGACCTTGCACTTGGGAGGCAGGCGGCAGCACCACTGAGCTAAATCCCCAGCCCTGATTGGAGAGCAGTTTTGATAATTGTCACTGAGATGAAATAGTTATAGTCATTACTTTCCTGCTATTGGGTTGTTTGCATTCCTTATGTATTCTGGATATTAGCCCCTTAGCAGATACAAAGTTTGCAAATATATTAGCTCCTTCTGCAGGCTATCTCTTTGTTTTGTTCATTTTCTGTTGTGCCATATACAAAATTTTACTTAGGTGGATGGGTAAGTTGTTGCACTCAAATGTAATACAATGTGACTATAAGGTATAACTTTTTCCTTGCCTAAGAGCGAAGATACAAAGTGTTCTGGCCGGCCAGACAGGCAGACAGACAGACAGACAGACAGACACACACACGTGTATTAATTAGGTTGACTGTGGTATCATTCACTCTGTGTGTAAAAGTATTACATGGTCAAGTCAGGTGTAGTGGCCCACTACTGTAATCCCAGCACTTAGGGAGGCAGGGCCAGGAGGATCACAAGTTCAAGTCCTGCCTGGGAAACTCAGCAAGAGCTCCCTTCCTAGGTGCACAAGTGTGAGATTTGCACGTGGCCAGTGGTTTACAAGGTGTCTGCCTTTTTGTCCCCTGAGGACTTTCAACCCCTTTCACACTTTTCAGCTCCAGAATTTATTTGGATTTCACCTGTTTTCCCTCATGTCTTCCCTGTTAGCTGGACTCTTCTGGGGCCTAACACTTCATTTCATCATCACATCTCCCTGGCCTCCGGGGCTGGTCCTCAACTGTCCTGGGGAGAAACTGCTTTGAGCACGGGCCGTGGTAGGAGTGTAGGCAACTGGTGTGATCTCCAGGAGCTCAGTCTCTCTTTGGGGCTGCTATCGTGGCGTGGGGCCTCTCCCAAGACCCTGCTGTGAAAGTCCCTGTATGCCGAAAATCTCTACAACATGCACTTGCCAGCCACATGCTGTCCACAAGCCAGGCAAGAGCGGACATAATTCCCTCAGACCCAGGAGGATGTGACTGCAGTTCCTCACAGGTGTAACTTCTGTGCAGCTCCTGGAGTGCCGGGCACTCCTGGTGTGTTCGCACCCGACTGCGTGACGTCTCTCAGGTCCCTTACAGAAAATGACTTGGTATTTGCACAGAACCTACACAAGGCCTGCCACGTACTTTCCATCAGCTCTAGATTACTGACTAAAAATGCAAATGGTGCATAAAGAGTTGTTCTGATGTATCTTAGGGAACGATGCAAAGAAAAGGTCTGTACATGTTCAGGTGCAGCATATTGTGGATATTTTTGACCTGACTGATTTGCACCTCCAGGTGGGAACCCATGGTCTTGAGGGCCACCTGCACACACACACACACACACACGCACAGGGGAAGCCTTTCCACCCCTGCAGGATGGAGCTCTGTGGTTACAACTGTGGAGGTGCTGAAGGACATGGTGCTCAGTGAAATGACAGGCGGGGAGAGACACGCTGCACGCCCACCCTCACACGTCATCAGAACCAGCGGGATACGAAGAGGAGAGTAGAATGCAGGGCCCGGGGGCTAGCAGAGGTTGGAAATGCGGGAGGCTGGTGAAGGGTGCGTGGATGTGGTTTCACAGCTGCAAGCCCATCCGTGCACTGCTGTGGTCATCCCCACGTAAGTCTACAGAGAGAGCGACAAGTGACACACAGAAAGAGGGCAAGAGGACCAGAAGATGACGTCATTGCCAGATAAGGAAGGGGAAAACCTGAATGCTTCAAGGCCAGGTGGTGGAGTTGGGAAACAGCGGGGGCGGGGGGGGGGTGAATACGCAAAGCCGAGCATCCGGGGACAGCGCTGAGGAGGGGCTGCAGAGAGGCCAGAAGAGGCCGGGCCTCGGGCGAGCAGTGGCTCACAGGAGGCGGTGGCCCCAGTGGCCTGCACACGGTTCTGGGGACCGCACACTTGCTTCTGTCTTCGGCTGTCCCCAGGCTATAGGTATCTCTGTTCTCCGTGTTCCTGGCCCCCTCTCACCCGTTCTCCTTCCAGGTCTGCCCTGCCCTTCCTCGTGCCTATGATCCTCATGGCAGGTCAGCACACGACTCTCAGTATCTTGGCTTGTTTCTGGATGGTTTGTGGACCTGGACCCCTTTCTGCAGCCTTGGGCCCAGGGTCCCTTCATCCCGTGCAGATTTCAGAGGGAGCTGAAAATGCACTGCACAGTCACTGCCAGCTTCCTGTGAGAACTGTGCTCTGCAAGTGCAGAGCTGACCATTGCCCTTTCTAGCTGTCCCTCTGCTCTGTGGCCTCTTGTGCTGCCTGTCGTGCTGCGTGGGCTCCCAGAACCATTGCAGGGCTGGGGTGGTCAGCAGGTACTCCTGGGGCCAGGGTGTGTGCTGCTCGCATCCACCCTTCCATGCCCCACCCTGGGCAGGCTGGGCCCTTGCAGGACCCAGCTCCTGGGCTAGACTGGGTCCCAGGGCTGGGGACCCTGTGCAGCCAGGCCTAGACTGAGCAATCCCGATTGGTCTTGGTCCCCTGGGGGTGGCCCAGGGCCCTGTCACAGTCATGCTGGCCCCCAGGCTCCTTCCCCCTGGGTCCCTCTCTGGCTATGCCCACCCCTGCTCATGCTGCTGGAAGACATGGGTTGTGCCCTGACCCCTCTGCCCTTTGCCTCCCTGGGGCCTGGGTGAAACAGAATCCCAGCTGGGGCTATTTTGGAGCTGGGCTGGGCCAGGGGGTGGGCTGGGTGGGGGCGGGGTTGGGCCCAGCCCTCTCCAGCTGTCAGCCCTGCCTGTCCTTTCGTCCCTGAGCAGTCTGAGGAACTGTCAGAGTGTGGGCTGCTGGGTGGGAACCGTGTTGCTCGTGGGCCTAGGAAGGAGAGCAGACCCAGCTGCCCCTGCCACCCGGTCCTCGCTGAGCCCCCGTGGAGAAGGTGAGGAGGGGAAGGACATGGGGCCGCCACAGGGCTCGGGCTGTGGGGCTGAAGGTCATGGTTCTGCAGCGGGTCTGGGGTCTGCCTGTGCCCCACTTTGGGAGGAACAGGGGGACTCCAGCCCTGACCCTCAGTCCTGGCAGGGGACGGGGCCGCCTGTCCCTGGTCTCTCCTTGGCTGGGGCTGCTCGGGGGTCCGGTGCCCTGCCCCCAGCACGGCTGGGATGGATGACTGCTGACAGCTGGGGCTATTTTGGGCCCGTGGCTCAGCAGAGGGGACAGCCAGGGGAGCAGCGCCACCTGACTCCAGGAAGGAATTTCCTGAGTGGGGACGCTGACAGCTAGGGTCCAAGGCGAGGCACAGGCATCCTGGGAGGGCACAGGGTCTCATGGTGGGGTCCCAGCCCTCCACTCCAGGATTTCCTGACAGAGGGGCCCTCGTAGGCCCAGCAGTCCTGAGTGGCTCTGTTCAAGTTGGGGTACAGGGGCTGCAGGGCTGGAGAGGCTCTGTGGGCTGGGGGTCCTAAGCGCATGGCCACGTAAGAGAAGCGGCTCCCCAGATGGGCACTGAGGGGCACAGGAGCTTTCCTGGGAGGCAGGGTCTCCCAAGCAGGCTCCTGCAGTGCTCTTGAGGGTCACACCCAGGGGACGCCAGCCCAGAAGGGCAGCAGAGGACAAGGCTGATGTCCATGCAGGCTTCCTGGAGGTTCTGGGCAGCCTCAGTGTCGTCTATAAGGTGGGGTGCCTGAGGGGGTGGCTCCCAGGCCTGGCGTGCACACATGCAGCAGCCCCCTTGCCCCTCTAGAGTGGTAGGGCAGCTGGGGAGTTCCGAGGATATGCCCTCAGCCCACAGGATCTGCCACCACCGGGTGACATGTTAGGAGGGGGGAACGTGGCCTCGAGCAGCAGAGTGCAGTGCACTGTCCCGGCATCATGTCTGTGACCAGGCCAGCTCGGGCTCTGCGTTCAGACTGGCCATAGTTGTGCTAAGTGCTCAACAGACCCCAGCTCAGGGCCCTGATGGCTGAGCAGAGGGAGCCCCACTAGGTGCCCAGCAGGGAGCAGAGCCCACTTGGCCCTTGCCATGTCGGGTAGCTGGGGCACAGAGCTGCTGACTGCACAGTGAGTCAGCAAGCAGCCCATCCCTGGTTCAGCCCTGCCTCCTGGAAGGGATTAAGGGATTAGGTACCTGAACCATGGAAGCAAGCACGGGACAGCCCCACAGTGGGCACTGGGCCCGGGGCCTGGGAGCATGGGGAGCACGGGCACCCCCCACCTCTGCAGACCCAGGGCAGGCAGGCACAGTCCTCATCCAGCCTGAGGGGCAGAGACCACCACCCTCTCTCCGCGGGAAGACTTAAGTCCCTCACCCCACAGTGCCCTGTGCAGCAAGCAGGGTCGCAGCTGAGACTGCAGGGTCGGAACCCACAGCCAGGCCACCCAGCCCCAGCCAGACCCTGCCAGCAGGGGTGGGTCCGGAAAAGGCTGGGTGCAGATACTGGGGCCGGGCGTCCCGGCCCTCGGCGTACAAGACAGGACAAAGGCCGGTGGCTGCAGTGGGTCTCCAGCACCCAGACCCGGCTGGGATCAGCAGCTTCCCTCTTGGCGGGCCACATGGCCACGCTGGAACTGTGGAGCCCGGTGGCAGAGCGCAGGGTACAGGACGCGCACAGGGATGCTCGAGGGGAGGGGCGGCGACCCATCCCGTCAGGAGCCCGCCCGACCCCCGACCCGGGAAGGGCAGACCCGTGCTGCCGGCCACGGTGCCACCTGGCGACGCTGGGGGAGGGAGCGCGCGTCGACCGCCCTGGGTTCCGCACACCTGGGGCACTGGGCGAGGGTCCCCACCCAGCTGTGACGGCTCCCACCCGCTCCGCAGCTCCCCGCCATGGATCCCGCCTCCTTCAGTGGCGCGCCCCGCTTCCTCGCGCGGCCCAAGGCTTTCGTGGTGTCCGTGGGCAAGGACGCTACGCTGAGCTGCCAGATAGTGGGCAATCCCACGCCGCACGTGAGCTGGGAGAAGGACCGGCAGCCGGTGGAAGCAGGCGCGCGCTTCCGCCTGGCGCAGGACGGCGACATGTACCGCCTCACCATCCTGGACCTGGCGCTCGGCGACGGCGGGCAGTACGTGTGCCGAGCGCGCAACTCCGTGGGCGAGGCCTTCGCGGCCGTGGGGCTGCAGGTAGACGTGGGGGCGGCGTGTGCGGAGCAGGCGCCACACTTCCTGCTGCGGCCCTCGTCCATCCGCGTGCGCGAGGGCGCCGACGCCGCCTTCCACTGCCGCGTGGGGGGGTCCCCGCAGCCCGCCGTGAGCTGGGCCAAGGACGGCCGGCGCCTGGGCGCTCCCGACGGCCCACGCGTATGCGTGGAGGAGCGGGGCGACGAGAGCGCGCTGCGCATCCGGGCCGCGCGGGCGCGCGACGAGGGCACCTATGAGGTGCGCGCCGAGAACGCGCTGGGCGCCGCCCGTGCCGCGGCCGAGCTCGTGGTGGACGTGGACGTGGACGCTGGGCCGCCCGGGGCCTCCACGGCCGCGCTGCTTGCTCACCTGCAGCGCCGCCGTGAGGCCATTCGCGCCGAGGGCGCCCCCGCGTCGCCGCCTGGCGCGGGCACGCGCACCTGCACGGTGACCGAGGGCAAGCACGCGCGCCTCAGCTGCTTCGTGACGGGAGAGCCCAAGCCCGACATCGTGTGGAAGAAGGACGGGCAGCCGGTGGCCGAGGGCCGGCGACATGTGGCGTACGAGGACGCGCAGGAGAACTTCGTGCTGAAGATCCTGTTCTGCAAGCAATCGGACCGAGGGCTGTACACGTGCACGGCCTCCAACCTCGTGGGCCAGACCTACAGCTCCGTGCGGGTCGTCGTTCGAGGTGAGCCTGCGCCCGCGCCCCAGGGCAGGGCTCCGGGCTCCCACTCGCAAGTGCTGGGTCGCGGATCCGGGCGGCTCTGGCTTTCTCGGATCCGGTCTTCACAAGGCGCAGCTGATGACTGCGGCCTGTCCTGCCCTGGGCGGGTGCTCCTCACCGAGTGGCCCGCCCCGCCCCGCCCGTCCCTCCAGGCCCCTGTTCAGCTGCCGCCCCACATTCAGGGTCCCCTTCCCCGGGCCTGGCCCTCTCCCCGGGTTCGGGAGCCCGCCTCGCGCCCCGCCCCCTCGGGTCCGGGTCTCACCCCGCCCCGCCCCCCGCAGAGCCGGCCGTGCCCTTCCCGCGGCGCCTGCGCGACCTGGAGGTGCACGAGAGGGACTCGGCCACGTTCGAGTGCGAGGTGCCGCTGCCCAGCACGCAGGCCGCGTGGTTCAAAGAGGAGACGCGGCTGTGGGCCAGCGCCAAGTACGGCATCGAGGAGGCCGGCACGGAGCGCAGGCTGACGGTGCGCGACGTCTCGGCCGACGACGACGCGGTGTACATCTGCGAGACGGCCGAGGGCAGCCGCACGGTGGCGGAGCTCGCCGTGCAAGGCAGGCGCGGGGTGGGGCGGGAGGCGGGGAGCAGTGGGTGAGGGCTGGGCAGATTGGGCCCGACGCCCGGTTGGGGGAGGGGGCGGGACGTCCCGCCCCTAGCGGTGGTCAGGGAGGGGCGGGGCGAGTGGCGGGAGTGGAGGAGACCCGCCGCGGGTGGCCCATGGGCAGGCCGCTGCAAGGGTCCGGCTGAGCATCCCCCACCCTTCCTTCCTCAGGGAACTTGACCCGGAAGCTGCCGCGGAAGACGGCGGTGCGTGTGGGGGACACAGCTGTCTTTTGCGTGGAGCTGGCTGTGCCCGAGGGCCCGGTGCGCTGGCTGCGGAACCAGGAGGAGCTGGTGGCCGGCGGCCGTGTGGCCATCACTGCAGAGGGCTTGTGCCACACACTGACCATCTTCCAGTGCAGCCTGGAGGACGTGGGCCAGGTGGCCTTCGTGGCTGGTGGCTCCCGCACTTCCACCCAGTTCTGTGTGTCGGGTAAGGGCCAGCTGTGGTGTCCAGTGGCTTTCCTTGCCCTTCCTTGGCTGTCTTGGTGCCCTGGATGTGGCCCAGGCCTTGTCCTGGGCCAGCTGCTGCAGGGAGACCATCGTCCTGGGTCCTGAGCCTTCTCCGAGTTGGGGCCTTTTTGCTGCAGCCAGACTGCCGCAGGAGTGGGTTGGGTCTGGGAGCTTTGGGGGTTCTTCGAGGGTACTGTAGACCTGGGGCTCTGGGCGGGGCCTTCCCAGGTGACCTCCGCCCGTCCTCTCCCCAGCCCCCAGGAGGCCACCCCTGCGCCCCCCCACGGACCCTGTGGTGAAAGCCAGGACAGAGAGCTCTGTGACCCTCTGCTGGTCTCCCCCGCCCCGTGGGGACCGTCCTGCCACCCTCGATGGCTACCTTGTGGAGAGAAGGCGGCTGGGCACCTACACTTGGAGCCGGTGCCACGAGGCCGAGTGGGTGGCCACGCCCGAGCTGACTGTCACTGGGGTGGCCGAGGAGGGCGACTTCCATTTCCGGGTGTCAGCAGTCAACAGCTTTGGGCAGGGTCCCTGCCTGGAGTTCCCGGGAACCGTGCGCCTGGGTAAGGGGTTCTTCACAGCGTGGGAGTGGTGCTGGGGCCCGGGCCCGGGGCCGGGACCTCTGTGTGAGCCGAGGGGCTTGCAGCTTGGCTGCAGTGTGTCCCTTGCTTGTTACACCCTCACTTTCCTCACGAGCCCACCCTGCATGCAGCCCCCCAGCTGGCCCTGAGGACGCCCCTGGAGGCAGTGGAGGCAGTGGAGGGTGGCGAGGTCACCTTCTCCGTGGACCTCACGGTGGCCTCCGCTGGTGAGTGGTTCCTGGACGGGGAGACCCTGAAGGCCAGCAGCACGTTCCTGATCGGCCAGGACCGCACCCGGCACACGCTCACCATTCGCGGGGTGCCGCCCAGCCTGCACGGTGCGGAGCTCAAGTTCGTAGCCAATGGCATCGAGAGCAGCGTCCGGGTGGCTGTCCGAGGTGGGGTCGCAGAGCCACTTGCCCTGGCTGGGGGCAGGACGGGCTGGGCTGCCAGGGTGTGGACGAGGGAGTCCATCGTGTTCCTCCTCCCCGTGTCCCTCCCCTCCCCATTCTCCCTGCAGTTCCTTCTTTCCTGCCTCGGTGCCTCCCTCCTGGCTGGCTCTTCCTCCGTCTTCATTCCCGCTCCCCTGTTCCCCGTAATCGTCCCGGTCCCGCCGTGTCTCTTCTCCCTGTGCTTCGTCCTCTCCTGCTGGGGCTCAGCCTTTCCCTTTCCCTCTCCACTCTGTGTCTCCCTCCTTGTCTCCTCTGTTGTCTGTGGCTCCTCTGCCCCCCACCTGGGGTCCCTCTGACCTTGCCTGTGCCCATCCCCCAGGGCTGACCGCCGACAAGCTGCTGCCACCACCACCTGCCCAGGAGGTGCTGGCCCGGCTGCACGAGGAGGCACAGCTGCTGGCCGAGCTGCAGGACCCGGCAGTGGCTGTGACGTGGCTGAAGGACGGCCATGCGCTGCTCCCCGGGCCCAAGTACGAGGTGCAGGCGTTGGCCGGGCGGCGGGTGCTGCTGGTGCGCGACGTGCTGTGGGAGGACGCTGGCCTCTACGAGTGTGTAGGCCATGGGCGCCACATGGTCTACCAGCTGTCCGTGCAGGGTGAGGGCTGGGTGCACGTCCCTGGGACTCCATAGTGTTGCTGGCTCTGTCCCCAGCTCCGGGCAGGCTCTGGGGCCAGGGAGGGCAGCGGGCAGGGGCTCTGCAGGAGAGGGGCTCCTGCTGTGGTGGCCTCTGGGCGGGGAAGGAGGGCCCCTGGGGCTGGGACCCAGCTATTAAGCTGTCTGCTGTCTGGGGTGGACCAGCCTCTGAGTGGCCCCGGCCTCGGGGGTCTCTGACAGGCTGTCTGCGCCCTGCAGGCCTCGCATCCTTCCTGCACAAGGACACAGTGGGTGGCCATGTGGACGTGGTGGCTGGGGCCCCAGTGCAGCTCGAGTGCGAGACCTCAGAGGCGCAGGTCTGCGTGCGCTGGTACAAGGATGGTAAGGAGCTGGACCGCTCCTGCCAGCGCTTCTCACAGGAGGACGTGGGCACACAGCATCGGCTGGCAGCATCCTCCGTCACCAAGCAGGACGAGGGCACCTACTCCTGCCGTGTGGGTGAGGACTCCGTGGACTTCCAGCTGCGGGTCTCCGGTGAGAGCATGCGTGGTGCGCCTGTGTGGGCGTTGACGTGCATATGGCGGAGCTTTCTGGTCCGTGGTCCGTCTGTCTGGACCCTTGTTTAGTTCAGGAACATTTCTGGTTATGGACATGGATAGAGCTGACATTCGTGAGCTGTGACTGAAGAATACTGTGTGTGTTTAAATAAAAAACTTGTTACAGCAGAAGACACACTGCCTTCAATCCCTGTCAGAATCCTCCCTCCCATTGGAGCGCTCATCCATTCTTGCCACTTTCTGGAGCAGCTTTGGAGTCTTCTTTCCTGAATATCTTTAGTTTGACTGCCGCAATGTCCTAAGTGCATTCAGAGTGTTTACCTGTCATGGTCATTTTGACTTTGGGAAGAGTCAGGAGTCACAAGGTACCAGATCCAGTGAATGAGGCGGATGAGGACCCTGCCGTGTTTAGGGTATGTGCCGCCGAAGCGAGCGCTAACCCTGCCATGTTTCTACGAGCTGCCTTTCCATTGGCAGCAGTGCTCATCACATTTTTCATCCCACCTCGTAAAGACTCGGGAGAGAGTACCCCAGAGCTGCTGCAGATAGTGGGAAGGATGATGGGATGAGTGTTTGAAGTGGGGAGAGGTTTTAAGAGTATTCACGGCTGTGTGTCTTTTAAAACTTAAACGCTCGCTGTATTTTCTGTCCATGTAGACCAGTGAAAGGTTCAGATGTTGAAAAGAAAGGAAGTTAGGAATGGTGGTCGGAAACTGGGTTTTCACCCAGCTTTGGGAAACATTTTCTCTCTGTCCCTGGCTCGATCATCCTTTTGTCTTGGTAACCCGGGCAGTTGCATGGTCCTGGAAACCCACTTGTTTATTGTGTGTTTGTGGGCTGCATTTAGGGCAAGGAAGTTCTGTTAAAAAATGACTTTGGAGCTCATGTTTTCTTTTTTGGAACTGGGGATGGAATTCGGGACTTTGTGCTTGTGAGGCAGGCAGAGGAACCACTGAGCTACATCCCCGGCCCTCAATTTTTCCTTTAAAACACGGGGGCACTGAGGCTGATAGGGCCAGATGTTTGAAGTGTCCTCGGCAGGCTGAGGCTGGAGTCTGGCGTGACCCTGGGAGCTTCCCGGGTCGTGGGGGGGTGGCTGGGGACAGAGCCCGGGGGAGCCCCAACCCCGGTGGCCCACAGGAGGCCGGCATGCTGTAAGCAAGAGGAGGCAAAGCGCTGTGTGCAACCTGGGGAAGCCACTGTGCCCTTGGCCCTGGCCGTTTGCTGGGAAGTCTGGCCCACGAAGGAAGGCGTCAGGCACGGGTGTGAGCCTTCTGGGCCTGCTTCTGGCACTGCGGTGACCTTGCAAACCTGCCCTTGGCCAGCCGAACACAGGGTGCCCACCTGGGATGGCTCAGGCATCCCACCCAGCAGTGCAGGTTGCACCTCGCCTCTGGGGATCTTGGAGACAGCCACCCCGAGCAAGCAGGAGGAGGGAGCTCTGCTGGGTGGGCTTGTGACCCCGTGTCCCTGTCCTTCCCTAGAGCCGAAGGCAGCGTTCGCCAAGGAGCAGCCGGCCCACAGCGAGGTGCAGGCCGAGGCGGGGGCCAGCGCCACGCTGAGCTGTGAGGTGGCCCAGGCAAAGACGGAGGTGACGTGGTACAAGGACGGGAAGAAGCTGGGCACGAGCTCGAGGGTGCGCGTGGAGGCCACGGGCTGCAGGCGGCAGCTGGTGGTGCAGCAGGCGGGCGAGGCCGACGCCGGGGAGTACAGCTGCGAGGCTGGGGGCCAGAAGGTCTCCTTCCACCTGGACGTCACAGGTGGGTCGTTTGGTGGTGGGCCAACACCTGTGTAGTTGACAGAGTCACTCCATTTGCACCCTGGCACCATCGCCATCGCCCAGCTGCACAATCTTCTGTTGAGTGACTGGTGCTGAGCAGTCAGTGTTCCTTGCGTGTGGGGGACAGCATGCTGCTCTCTGTCTGCGGGCCTGTGGTCACCCTGTGGCTCGTCCTCATCCTGCTCCTGACATGCATCTGTAGACCTGCGGCTCTGTAGCTGCAGTTGTGCCGTCAATTTGGGGCCCCTTCCTCTTTCTTTCTTTCTTTTCTTTTCTTTTCTTTTTTTCTTTCTTTCTTTTTGTGACAGTGTCTTGCTAGGTAGTTCAGGCTGGCCTTGAATTCATGGTGATCCTCCTGCCTCAGCCTCTTGAGTGCTGGGCTTACAGGCATATGCCACCACACCCTGTGCCGCCTGCCTGGAGTCCTGGTTTCTCCCAGCCCTGTGGGAGAAAATCCTCTCATTCCCCAGCCTGGAGGTGCAGATGGTCTCCACTGCTTCCCCACCCGGGCTGCTGGCTGCATCTTGTGGTCTCCAGGGCAGAAGTCTTGGAATGGACCTGGGAGGTCTGGCTGGGCGGCATGGAGATGCCCTGTGGCTCTCTCCTCCTGGCTGCAGAGCGTGGAGGCGCCTGTGTTCTCCTCTGTCAGGACGCTGGGCTCTCAGGCCCCCTTCTGTCACTGGGCTGGTTCTGAGGACGTCCAAGGCTCTTGTTGAAGAAAAAGAGTGTTCGGGTCATGTCAGTAAGAGCCTTGTGCAGGCATTAGAAGGTGCAGGCCGGAAGGGAAGATTGTGCACCCTCGAGAGAGGCAAATTATGATCCAGAGCGAGGCGCAGTGCTGAGGCTCGGGGTGTTTTGGGTCGGGCAATCCAGGATGTGCTCCAGCTGTTGGTCACACCACCTGCCTGGGACTGGGTCAGAATGCCGACCGTTTATTACCTGCGTTTGAAGTTGCGACTGCTGCCTACTAACTTTGGTGCTTCTTTGAGGCGGAGGAAGCAGTTTACAGGTACAAAACAGGCCCAGAGCCCCAGTTTACAGGCTCGTTGTGTCTTAAAAACCTGCAGGGATTTTTTAGTGAGTTTCTTAGAGGGGAAAAATAGTCGAGTGCCTTTTGAGTCCTCAAGCTGCAGCTTTTGTATAAGTCCTTTTGTTTGTTTTTTTTGGTACCGGGGATCGAACTCCAGACCTTGCACTTGGAAAGCAGGTGGCGGAACCACTGAGCCACATCCCTGGCCCTTGCAGCTTTTGTTAAAAGTGCAATTTAAGGGTCAGGGATGTGGCTTAGTGGCACAGTGCCTGTCTGGCAGGTGCGAGGTCCTGAGTTTGATTCCCGGTACCAAAAGAAAAGTGCGATTTAAAATCCCAAAAGTATGATTTGATGTTTTTTCTGTCCTGTCTCCCTGGCCTGGGAGCCCCTGCAGCTGCACGTCGCCCCAGCCATGTGAGGGCGCTGCTGCCATGGGCACTGCTGGCCCTTTGTTGAACTGAGGTTTCCAGGTGGGGAGCTGCCTTGGAGAGGGCCGCTGCTCAGCCCGCTTCCTGGGTGTCAGTCTGCATCCTGCTCCAAACTCAGGCCCCAGTGAGGCTCTGTAGGCGGCAGGGGTCATGTGCTTCCTGTGGCCAGGCTGGGGGACGCACCCTGTCTCTTCCGCGCTGCTCTCCCCACGACCCCCTGCCTCTCGAGCCTCAGTTGTCTGGCATCTACGCCAGGAGAGGTTCTTGCTCGTGCCTCGATTTCTTTAGTGCTGCGGACATCTGCAAAGGTGTGTGTCCTCTGGGCTTCCTGTCCTGGAGTTGCACGTGGGGTCTGTGCTGGTAACTCTGGCAAACTCTCCAGCGTGACATCTGGCTGTGTGCAGACATGCCCTAAAACCAAAGAAGCCCTGGTCCGGGACTTTGAACCATGATACTGGAGGTGTGAGGCTGATGTGTTCATCTTGGGGGTTTGGGGAACATGGGCCGGAAAGTTTCTGTCCCTCTGGGCCGCTCCGTGTGGCCTTGGCATTGTCAGCGTGGGTGTGGGGACTTGGGGCTGTGTGGAGCATCGCAGTCCTGGAACAGGATGCTGGCCGAGGCCTTTCTGCACTCTGGGGGAGGTGGCTGGAGGTCTGCCCACAGGCTCCCGGGAAAGCTGGGGCCATGTGCTTGTCTGGGATGGTGACCGGGCCGGGTGGACCTGCCAGCCCTGGATTTGCATCTGTCCCCCTCCCTCCACGTCCAGAGCCCGCAGCAAGGGATTAGCTCAGGATGTGGCTGGACCAGGCGGTGCTCCTCTGGTGTTCGTCAGAAGTGTGTGCGGAGCCAGGTGTGGAGGCAGTGTGATTCCCGCACTCTGGGAGGCTGAGGCAGGAGGCTTGTGAGTTAGAGCCGGGCTGGGAGACATAGTGAGGCGTTGTCTCAAAGGCTGAAATGCAAAGATGGAACTCAGTGGCAGAGCACGTGACTAGCTTGAGACTGGCTCATCCCCAGCACCACACACGCAAAGAGGCCTCGCCTGGGCCAGACCCCTGGTGCCCACACACCTCCCGGGACAGGAGGGTGGGCTGGTGGGTGTAGAGTCCAGGCACGTGGCAGGAGGGTCTGCAGACCTTGGGCTGTGGCGACACCTTCTGTGGACAGGGGGAAGTGTTGCAGAAACACCACAGGAGTGGGTGCCAGGAATAAGCGTGGGGTGGGGGTCCCGCAGGCCTCGGAGTTGGAAACACAGAAATCAAAGTCAATTTCGTTTTTGTAAAATTGAAATCTAGCTGGGCATGGTGCTGCATGCCTGTGATCCCAGCACGCGGGAGGCTGAGACAAGAGGATTGCCGAGAGTTTGAGGCCAGCCTGGGCTACATAGTGAGTTCAGGGATGGCCTGAACCATGTAGTAAAACCCTGCTTCAAAAAGAAAAAAATTTGAACTCTAAACAATCAGTGGGTACTTTGGTAGGACTGTAGACTGCGGGCCGAGCAGAGCCCGAGGACTTACACATGTAGCTGGGAAGAGACCCGTGGGCATGGCTGGCCTTGTGCCCAGAACCAAAGCTGCCAGAAAACTTAAGGGGAAAAAACTGCGCGCCTTAGCAGGTTGAGCTGCTAGCAGAAAAGCCGAGCAAAAACGTCTGAAATAGCAGAACCCCACGTGGGTGTGACCCAGACAAACGTGGCCAGGGCTGCTCTGCACGTCGTTTGGTCACAGGGCTGCAGGTGCGGGGCGGGGTGGTCTCGGCCAGATGCCCACGGAGCCCACGGACGTGTCTGCCACCCGCGGGCCTGTGCTGGCTGCAGGTGCTGCTGCACCCCTCGGTGCTGTGTGTGGAGGCCAAGCGGCCATGCCCACAGCCCCACAGACTGCACGCTGGTGCCGGGCTGATGCCCCTCAAGGGCCTGCAGGCAGTGGGAGCTTTCTGGATTTTCCAGGTGGGAGTACATGGGTGGCTGCTGATTTACTTTTTCTTTTTTTGAGGTACTGGGGATCGAACTCAGGACCTTTGCTTGCGAGACAGGCGTGGCGCCAATGAGCTAAGCCCTGCCCCCTCGATTTTCTTTTTCTTTACTTTGTGCTTATTTATGTGTTTATTTTGCAGTGCTGGGGACGGAATCCAGGGCTTTGCCCGCACTGGGCAACTTGCCTCTGACCGCCCTCCAGCCCTTGTGCACGTTCTTTGCTCCCTGAGCAAGGGCGCGTGCATGTTCCCTAGAAACAGGAAGGCAGATGCCAGCAAGAATGAAATCGAGAGGCTTTGAGCTGGAGTTGTGCAGGGCCTGGTGAGGGAGGGGAAGGCTGGGCCAGGCTTTCTGGTGGTTTCTGTTTTGCAGCTGGAACCCAGGGCCTCACTCATCCTAGCCCTCCTCATTCCCAGCCCTTTCTCTTTTATTTTTGAGACAGTGATCTGGTTGCCTAAGCTGGCCTCAAACTTATGATTCTTCTGCCTCAGCCTCCTGACCAGCTGGGATTATAGACATGCACCACTGTGCCCAGCTTGGCGTATTTTTAATTTTTTGCGTTATTCTGGTTTTCAGTGCTAGTTTGTATGCATATGTGTTTTAAGTGAATTGTGTGTGTGTGTACAGTAACTAAGAGGAAAATGTGCCTTGTGATTCTGCTCATGTGCAGTTGAGGGGCAGCCAGGGCTTTGGGGGTCAGGGTGAGGGTGGCAGCTGCTTTGGGGAGGCGGTCAGGAGCCTGGAGGGTGGGGCGTTGGGCCCCGGGGGTGCTGCCGTCACCTGGTGAAGTAGGAAGAGAGCTCTCGCCTCTGTTTCCTCTGCACATAGAGGCCCCAGGGCAGGTGCCGGCAGCGCTGGCTCCTGTACACCCCAGGACACAGCAGCGAGAGTCAGCTGGAGGGCCTGTGCCTCACTGCTCTGTGACCCCGAGAGCAGTGGGGGTGTGGCCCCTCGGGTCCCGGGTCTCGTGCAGAGTGTGAGTCATGCGGTGCTTCTTGCTGTTTGCTCTGCCTGGATGGGGCCTGGTACATCCCTGCGCAGGGCCCCTGGGCTTCGGAGGACCTCAGGTGCTGGCCTGTACCACAGGACCCTTGTCCTGCCCACATCTATGTTTCTGGTTGCCCACCAGCTCTGTCTGGGCCCAGCTGAATCTGACACTGGGGTTTCTGTGTTCTGAACTCTCTGACGTGTGTCCCTCCTCTTCACGCCCAGAGCCCAAGGCGGCGTTCACCAAGGAGCAGCTGGCCCGCAGAGAGGTGCAGGCCGAGGCGGGGGCCAGCGCCACGCTGAGCTGCGAGGTGGCCCAGCCAAAGACGGAGGTGACGTGGTACAAGGACGGGAAGAAGCTGGGCGCGAGCTCGAGGGTGCGCGTGGAGGCCACGGGCTGCAGGCGGCAGC